CTTGCATGTGTGTACTCAGTAACATTTTGTCAAGTTGCGCATTCATATGCCCTCACCGTAGGATACTTAAATTCACAGGTGTGTGCATATACACACTACTCCCATTTAAGAGTACCAGAGGCTACTCGGATGTACTTACTAGGAAAGAATCCCTATATGGGAGGTTCTGTTCAACTAATGAAGGAATAGCTCACATTCTAGTAAAACACTGAGCCAAAATACATTATTGTAGTAAGTACACAGAAATCCCTGAATAATTAAGCATATAGCAAGACAAAAACAAGTTTAACAGTGAGCAAATGTCCTAACTTTCTTTGCAAATCCTCAGTTTCTAAAGTAATGGTTAAATAACTAAGTATTGGCATTTATGAGAATACAATCATTTCAATGTATGTTGCATTGTCAACCGGAAAGCCAACACTTAGAAACTGCAAGCATGGGGTGCTTCTGGTGGCTAAAGCCATGATTCTGTAATGAAACGCATACAGTGCACCCCCTTAACCCTCACAAATCTCAAAGGGACGCTGCATTGTATGACTGCCCTGCAATGAATCCTTCTTTTAAGCACTTGCAAAATCAGAAGAAATAACTCCTCCATAAAAATAATGATAAACCATCATATTTTACAGAGTAGAACTTGTTAGTTAAAGCTGAAGTGTCCCATGGGAGTAATTCTGTTGATAAAGCTATAAGGCAAAGACTACAGAGTGCAGGAGCCTATCTGACACAAAAAAAACCTCACTTACCTAATCCCCACAGCTCTTTCTAGGCGTTTGGTATGCCTCTACTCTTCTCAATTCTATGAAAACTGATAGAAATATACCAAGTTGCAGATTTAAAAAAAATAAATAATTGCAGAGTTAACAAGGATATGAGTCACAAAGTTCTTGACTGTATTTTCAGATACACTGGGCCCTTAATGAAGACAGCCCTGCTAGATTATAAGTACATGAAGTACTTATAATTATGAGTGAAGAGCCAGCAAGCATGGATAGGTGAAAGCTGTGTCACAATAACAGAATACCGTACTGCAGAGAAATCTTTTGGATGCACATCTGAGAGCTTTCTGGTTCCAAATTAGAGAAAGATTTCTCTTTTTTTTTTTTTGTTCAGTAGACAAAAGATCTCCTGAGGTCATCGATGTTTGATCAAATTACAGTATAAATACAGTAACACCCCCAGCATCCCATATTTCACTTGAACACTACACATTTTTTTCTAATACTAAAGTCCATAAATTGAAGGCTATGTATAACTACCTACCTTATAGTTATGTTCCTCATACACAGGGTATAGATTTTCCCTATGCCGTTCAAGAAATAACTATGTAAAAACAGCACTATTAAGCTGACATTATTAGGCACTCAAGTTAAAAAGTCATAGGCAGAACATAAAGTCGTCCTCCCTGTGCGTACACGTGGGGTCAGAGTTCTTAACTACACAGACCAGTTTCATCTTAACGTTTCCTGTCCTCTTCTGCTCTGAAAGTAAGAAGCAAACATGAACAAGGGGACCCTAGTTCAAGTTCAGGGTATCACAAAAGGCTTCTCAGCACCTTTACAGCTTTAAAGAGGCAGTAGCTGCAGGAAGAATTCTCAGGGACAT